ATCTCTTGTGCCTCACCTCCCCTTTCAAAAGGTATTTCTACATATGGCTGCACAAAATCACAAAAACTAAAACAAGAAAGATTTAATAAGTTAGGAAGTAAAGAAAATATTTTCTTGCTTACACTCTCTTTGGCTTTTATCACAAGACTAACTTTTCCCTCACCCTTAGCCTCTTTTCTCTCACTAAAGTTTTTTTCTTCTTCTTTGCTCAAACCCTCTTGTTTTTCTCTCTCTACCTCAAAGACTTTTCTTATATCATTGCCTTCTCTCTTTTCTTTTCCCTCAAGCTCACTTTTTTTTTCAATTGATATCCCATTCTCTTCACTCAATACAACCTCTCCTTTTTCCTCTATTGGGATGTCAACCTGCACTCTCTTACTCCTCTCATTCTTTTCTCTCTCATATTTTTCCATATTCTTTTTAACAGTCTTTTCATCTTCATAAATTTATGAGGGAGTCAAAGGTCCAAAAATAAGTTTCTTCCTGTTAACCTCAAAAGAGTATCTATTTTTTTTCATATTATATGAAGCTCTTCTATAGGCATACCATGGCTTTCCCAACAAGATATGATAATTATTCATGGGAATCATATCACACCAGATCGCATCCTCATACCTTCCAATAGAGAATAGTAATAATACTCTTTTATCTACCTTTACTCCTCTCAACATGTAGGGTTCAATATGCTCAACACAAGGCAAGTTCAATTTTTCAACCATATAAGTGCTAATTGAATTATAGCCAAACTCTTTATCAATTCTAAGGACACAAATCGCAGACATCACTTTAGCTCTTGTTTGAAAAATAATTTTACCATTGTCTTCCTTCCATTCGGTATACTGTAAATTCGACTTTTCAAGATGTTGAGTCATAGCTCGCCTCCTTTCACTATAACTACCTGTTTGAAACATCTTGAACAAAGATTAGAAGAATTATGTATCTCTCAAATTTTGGCTTTTTCCTCTAATGTTCTCGCCTCTCTTGCCTTTTTCCACTCAAAGCAATTCTTGGTCGTTAAACTTTAGATTTATTATTAAACCTTACTAGTCACAACCCTTAGTGATAAGAATGTGGAGTTAGAAAAAGAAAAGGAAAGTGAAGGACCAAACCTTAGAAGAATAGGAATTGATTATGTAGAACAAATAAGGAAAGAATTTAGGAAACTCAAAACCCACAAGAATAAGGAAAGAAGTTACCTTAATCTTCAAGAACTAGGATCCCCTCTTCTTGTTTTCTTTCTTGACTTGGAAACCAAATAACACTTGAATTCTACAAATAATAATGAGCCATAATGCTTTTCTGTTGGCTAATTTTTGTTTTTTTTTTTGGTTTTGTTTTACTCAAGAACCTCCCAAGATTATCAAGATTGAAATCTTGATTAGCCTATGCTCTGATACCACTTGATAACAACACGATAGGGGTCCAATAATTACTAAAAAAAAATCAAGAAACGTGTGGAAGCTAAAAGAAAATAAAGAAACAAAAAAACAACGGAAATTTAAAGATAGATTGAATTTAAGAAAGTGTTTCTTGAATTCAAGAAGTCTATTCTTGAAGTTGAATCCTAACAATAACAATTAGCTAACTAAGAACTAATCGCCTTTGGTAGAGAATTAAAAACAAGAGATAGATTGTGAAACCCGACCCTTTANGAAACATGAGAAAGCTAAAATAAAATAAAGAAACAAAAAAACAACGGAAAATTAAAGATAGATTGAATTCAAGAAAGAGTTTCTTGAATTCAAGAAGTCTATTCTTGAAGTTGAATCCTAACAACAACAATTAGCTAACAAAGAACTAATCACCTTTGGTAGAGAATTAAAAACAAGAGATAGATTATAAAACATGACCCTTTAGAATAACAAGAACAACAATAAGCCTAAACTTATCACCTTTCTTGAATACCTAGAAGTGATCTAAGATTTCGAAAGAGTTTAATCTTACCACCTTAAGTTGAGACTTGAAGCTTGAAGAATAAATCCAAGAGTAGTCACACACAAGAGAGCAAGAAAAATCTCACATTTTTTATTGATAATAGTCTATAATAATCTAAAATCTAAAAACAAAGAAGACACCCCTTTATATAAAGAGGGGGTCACAAAATTCCTACCTAAAAATAAGTAAATAAAGTCCTACACTACTTTGGACAACAAGTCCAAATATCTTAGGAAAAGAAAAAATACTAAGAAACAAAAACCAAGTCAATCTTGGAAAGTAACTCCAACAATCTTAGGAAAAGGAAAACATAACCTTAACTACCTAGGAAAGCAATAAATCTATTACCAAAATATATGGAAATAAGTTAAAACCAATCTTGAATAGAATTTTGAAAGTCCCAAACCAATCATGGATAGGATCTTGGAAATTTTGAAGGCAACTTGTAAGCAACTTGGTACCAACTTGTACCCAACCTTTCTTGGGCAGCAAGTAAGTCCTTTTTATGTTATAAAAACGTATCTTCATGTAGGACTTATCGGGATGCAAGTTTGGACACATGTTTAGGTGCCAAATAGGTCCAATAGTGGCTTGATTTGGACCTTCTTCAGAAGATGTCTCTTGGGATCTAATCCACCTCTTCTTGGACATGAATTTGTACCATAAAATAATTATAACACCTAGACAATTCATATCCTTTATTCTTGAGCTCTCCATCCCAATTAACAACTTCTTTATTTGCACTTGAAGTCTAATGACCTTGTTTTGCAAGTCTTTAGCTTGACATCTTGTGAAAGGCCCTCTTTGAGATTCCAAAGCTTCATTCTTGTCCTTGAATAGATTTGAGCTTCCTAGGATGCTATCAGCACCTTTTTGTGCAGATCTAGATGCCACGGTTGTTGTTGATTATTAGCTGGCTGGTCGAGCTGTGGAAACTCATGGTGAACGTGTCGTCACATTCGCAAGCCTCGGAGTCACCTTCTGATATTTTCATTGTATTGTTTAATTCCATTCTGAACAGTTGCATTTAGGGATTTTCTAGTAACTCGGTAGAACTTATGACTTGTACTACCGGTTTTAGGAATTGTAATTGAGTATAAGATTTTTACCTCGTATTTATCATTCGATGATCGAATTCTTCTATTTATTTAGTAAGTGTTAGGCTTACCTAATCTTAGAGAATAGGTGTTGTCACGACATCCTACAGAGGGAAATTGGGGCCGTGATATTATATTTTTGCATACTACATTAAATAATAAAATAAAAACTAATATTAATTAAAATAATATGATATATTAGATTATAATTTTGTAGATTAATATTCCTTCAAATTATTCGTGCATTGCGCGGGTCCTAACACTAGTTGATTTTTTATCTTAAATATTATAGGATATGGTGGTCAAAGTATATATGGTGTTCTTTAGGTGTATTGTTTGTTTTGTTTATGGTAATATTTCACATTTATTACTAAAAAATTATTGTAGGATTTTTTTATCTAGTTCAAGCAAGAAAATATTTTATAACCTAAATTTTAGTTGATTCAAAATACTATATATTAGGAACATACTTTAAATTATAATTTTGTCCAATGTAAAATTTATTTTTGAAGGGTAAAAAAGACGAATGATATTTCGCTAATGACCTTCGTGCTTTTAATATAGTATAGATAGATATAGATAGATTTAACGAAGAATAGTCAACTTAGACCCATGTCTAGTAAAATATGATGATAGAATTTTACTACACAAAGAACATAAATTTGAAGTACAAAGAACAAATTTACCACTTCTAATTTAAATTTTTAGTATTGTTATGCAAAATTTGAAAGAAGATAGAAAGGTCGGTGTTACGATCCAAAACATCAAGTAAACTGAGTGAACTTATCCTAAAATCTATATCCATTATTTGATGTACTTCATTATTAAATCTTTTGCTTCAACTGAGCTGAGGCTGACTCGGTAAAGAGATTTTACTGTTTAACCTCTTACAGTGGAAACCACCAAATGAACGCAAGTTTTATAACCACCCAATCCTTATTTCATTTCCCAAGTGAGAGGTACTCCTGTAAAATAGCACCGTTAATAAAACTGCACATTCCTCTTGACTTTATCAACAATTCCATTCCCTTATCTCCAAGTCCAACTCACCTCATCCCTTCTCCAATATTTTTCACATTCAAACCGAGATAATTGGGACGGTTTAAAAAAAACTAATTTTAGTTATACGTAATAAATTAATAAAAATTAACTCCACTAGAAGAATGCATATTTTTCTCCTTTTGAAAAACCAACCTGAAGTTTAACTCTTTTAGTTTCTTCTCTGGCCAACAACTCTAGAGAGAGTTGAACAATGGCTGCCTGTGGAGGCCTAAACCACATCTTTACAGAAAATTCAAAAAATTTTGATTCCCTCTCCTTTACAGAGATTTTTGAAGAATTAGATTTAAAAGATAACAACTCTGAGTCCTCCTTTTCCTCCTCCATATCATCTTTTTCTTCTAATCTCCCTCCATTGTCTGCCTCCTCCTCCTCATTATCATCAACATCTTCTTCTTATAATTCTTCTTCATTTTCTCTAGAAACAATCCACCAATCTGGAATTGAAAGGAAAAACAAGGACCCCATTTATCCAACAAGCAGCCAACATTACAGCCATAGTGATAGCTTTTCCTCAAGAAACTCAGATATTCTATCATTATGTACAGAAGGCCTTGGATTTGAAAGCTCTGATGATGTTGAAGATATTATGAATTATTTGAGTAATGAGAATGAACAAGAACATGAAGAAATTAGATCAACATGCATTAATTCCAAGTTAGAAAATCAGAGGATTAATCATTATGAATATTCCAAAAGATATTCAAGAACAAATAAAGGGTCATTATTACCTCCTCCAATTTCTTGCATTGGAGGAAGTGGAAAGCCTTGGGTTTGTTTTAAATCTTATAGGGAAGATGGTAGGTTTATTCTCAAGGAGATTAGAATTCCTGAGTGGGAATTCTTGCATGCTTGCCGAGAAGATGGACGTTTGAAGCTACAGTATATTCAATCAGATGATGAAATTCTAGAGGAAGACGAAGAAGAAGAGGGAGAGGAATATGATGATGATTCAGAGGATTTCAAAGAGGAAGAAGAGTTAGCAAATGATGATGATAATGATGATAAGAAAAGAGAATATGAGAATCTTGCTGAAGAACAATAATGTAGGAATTGAAGAATAGGTAACATTTATAAAAGGTGTTTCTTAACTTTTTCTTTTGTAATTATTGTTTCCATTATGAAGTTGCAGGGGAGCTGCAAAGGAAAAAGCTCATAGCTACTTTTTCTTCTCTTTCAAATTTGCAAATAAAGAGAACTTGCCAATGGAATTCTAAATTCCATATTTAGATCTTTTTATCCTGAAACTCAAAACATTTTCATTTCATTATGCTGCGCTAAATCACTTTTATATTCAGGGGCGAACCCAGTAACTTCAAACTCTATATTTGTTTTCAGAAATCGATTGAATGTGTATAAATTCTTAATTTAGAACCCACTACTTTAAAATAACTAGAATTTCAAACCCAATAACTTTAAATTCTAGCTCCGCCTCTGTTTATATTACCTATTCTCCATCTGTTTTTATGCCTTTCATGAGACTAGTCTAAATTCTTTAATAATCAAGAATCTTTTGAAAGAGATCAAATTGCATGACTCCCATGGGCGGAGCTAGAAGCTCGTATACGAGTTTGGTTCAATCCAGTAATTTTTATTCAAACAATATATTTGTGTTGAAAAATACATTAAATAAGTATAAATATTAAATTTAGAACACAATTATTAACATTTGAAGTCGTTGTTATGAAATTAAGAATTCATAAAGTCTATCGAAATCTAGTTCCGCCTCCAATGACTTAACTTCTTAGTTCTTGGTAATTAGTTAGGGGAGTACAATATAACTGGTGCACGAGTAGGCCAGGGATCAGATCCCTTTACCACTATCTCCTTACCATAGTGGTAACAAGAAAGACAAAATAAAAAAGAAGGGAAAAGCGAAAAGAAAATCAAAAAGGTGATTGAGGGGAGATAGACTACGAAAGCACATATACCCCTATTCTGGGATAGATGGGATAGAGAGGTTATTTCCGATAGATCCTCGGCTTCCTCCTTCCAAAAACTCTCCACCTTGCTCTTGATGTGACTCAAACTCACAACCTCTTGGTTAGAAGTGCAGGGTGCTCACCACTAGAGCAACTCACTCTTGATTCGAAGTAGATGAATATGGCTTTAAAAGGGACATCTACATCTAATTTCTACAGACACATGTAATCTCCTGTAATGAAAACAGGGTTCACCATGTTTGTTAGAGCTCGTGACCAATTCATTTAAAAATTTAGATTATAGAGAAAGTACTTTTTTTTTTTTTAATTGTATTGTCTAAAAGTTAAAATATTAGAGAGGTCATACTTTTATTCATTCAATTATATATTCGCCATACCTAAAATAAAATTCATCATATTATCATCTTAGACTTGAGCCGATGTTAATTTACTCATATCGATGACATCAATGACTGATTCCATAACTTGAACCCGTAATCTATAGATCACACAGAACCAACTTTACTATTATTCCAAAGCTTCCCTTCACTCATAGTATAGGATATTCACTTAAAATAATTGGACATGGATAATAATTATTTTATATAATCGACATGACTTGCTTAAGAATAAGGCATATTAGTTTTTGTTGTGTTGCCATCTCAAGTTAAATTATTTAACACGATAGAAAGTTAGCTCACGAAAATGACCACCTAAGTTTGGATTGGTTACGTTGGGCTGGGCATATATTCATCGCGAGTCAATTTAGATAAAACCCAAGTCTCAACTCATCTAAAAGTTGATCTGATTTGAGGTAAATATATAGCATAAGCTGACCCATTAGAAAACTTGTTAATATATTCATTAAAAAAGTTTGTTTGTTTAATATGTTAGATATAATAATAGTAAAAATAATAATAATATTAAAGAATAAATATTTAATAATTAAACATATAATAAGAAAACAAAAAAACAAATTCAAATTCTATAAAATTGGACGGGTTGGCCAGCTAGATTCACCGTTTACTTTTCCTACTCGGTATACACAAATTATACACAAAACTATATAACATATTATTAGTTTAAGCGATTGAATAGATAACTATTTAGGTTAATTTTTTAATTAATTTATTAATGACATGCTCATTTATTGATTCACTACTAGAAATTCGCTAAAATCTGACTAAAAAACCGACCAAAGTTGGTCGGTTAAGGCCAATTACCGACCAAAATGCGACCATTAGGGCGTGGACGGTGTTTTGATAGTCGAAATGGCTTACCGACCAAAGTTGGTCGGTAGCTTAAAACGACAATCTGACAAGTTTAAGTACTTACCGACCAACTTTCATCGGAAATATATTTTATTAATTTAATTTTACCGACCAAAGTTGGTCGGTTTAACTAAATTATATTTTTTATTAATTATTAAAATTTAAAAAAACCGACCAACTTTGGTCGGTAATTGAAAATATATATTTTTTTAAAATAATTAAAATTAAACATTACCGACCAACTATGGTCGGTAATTTCAACAGTGCAGGCAAAATACCGACCAAAATTGGTCGGTAATGTTGAATTCTGGGAATTCAATATTTATTAACCGACCAACTTTGATCGGTATTTTCGAATAAATTTTTATTATTATTAAAAACCGACCAACTTTGGTCGATTTTTCTGGGTTTAATTTTGGCATAAAATGCCTGTTTTGGCAGTTACACCACCTGCCAGCATACCAATACAC